ATGGAGAACTCCAGTTTGGACTTCTTGCCATAATCAACAGATAGGCGCTCCATCAGCAGGGATGTGAAGCCAGAACCGGTTCCCCCACCGAAGCTATGGAAAACCAAGAAGCCCTGGAGACCTGTGCATTGGTCAGCCTGGGAAGAAAGAGAACAAAGAAAAGATAATTATTGCTGTTTATGATACAATCATCAAACATTTATTTTCTTTTTCTATATGTCTTTGAGGATTTAAATTATCTTTTGACATCAAACAAGACTAAAACCCTAGACCTACCTGGAATTACTTAGCATGAGTGCATGAAAAGCATCATCATTAATATTTATAAAATAACACCAAATAGCTTGTCATTAAAAAATTCTAAATGGGAGTGGGGGAAAAAAATCTAATTTAACAATAGAATATCATTCTCTATTTCTGTTAGTAAAAAACAGCATTTATTTCATATTTTTTGCCAATGTATATCAGTGTACTTTGTTTTAAGAATAAACATGGTGGGGGAACGGAGGAAAATGTGCAAAAATGAATGAATGAAAATCCAAGTTCTCGATAAACTTTGATTAAAATCTTAAAAAAAAAAAAAGAATAAACATACCAATTTTCTAATCCGGTCCAGAACCAAGTCAATGATCTCCTTGCCGGTTAACTTTAGTGTCAGTGTTGTCCCTGCCTTTCTCACATGCACCTTTACACACTTATTTCCTGCTTCACCATCCCACAGGATATCCATCCACTTCTACCCCCTCCCTTCACATCTATCTCCCTTTCACCAGCCCTCCATCTAATAACTTATATATGAAGCTTCCATGGCTTCTGTGATTTCAAACACATCAGCTGATGGTAGTTCCTTATGTTGGGATCAGTGTCTCTTAAGTTTAGTCACAATATTTATTCGTCAAAGGTGATGCATCCAGGCTATAGTCTTCACAATTGCATGCTATGCCTGGGAGAGCTGGACAGTGACTAGAGATGATAGAAAGAAAATTGATGCATTTGAGCTGTGGTGCTGGAGAAGTTCGTTGAATGGACTGCTAGGAGAACAAACAGGTTTATCTTGGAGAGGGTGAATCTGGACTGCTCCTTGGGGACAAGGATTCAGAAGCTTCGTTTGACATACTTTGGGCATGTTGCAAGGAGGGGCCAGTCCTTGGAGAGGGACATCATGCTTGGAGTATAAAGTGACAGCGCAGGAGGGGAAGACCTCGATGAGATGGACCGATTCAGTGATTGGAATAGTGGAAGTAGGTGTGTCAGAGACAATGAGGTTGGCACAGCATAGAACAGGATTTAGGGCTCTTGTACATAGGGTCATTATGAGTTGTAGGCGACTGACAGCACGAAAGAAGTTGACATCGTGAAAGGTAATGAAATTATAGTTAGGGAAGCTGCAAATCTTTTTAGAGGACTTATTCCACTAGATATCATTGGATTGTTTTAAAAATTAGCCAATCTTGGCTTCTTATGTGTCATTATTTCCATTAACTTCCATTAAGCTCAGATTCAGAAACTGCAGTGTTTTTGTGCCCCTTAGTTCAATGACAAAGGAAAAATAAATGGGCAATTGATGCAAAAAAGAAAAAAATTTACTTCATCACCTCTGGGTATTATCCCAGAATAATGTGATGGTGGTAAAACAACTTGCAGGTGTTAAAAAGGCCTTTTGGGTGCCTGGAATGGCATCTGAGTTCTTGCTGAAGTAAACCTTGGTACAATACTTGAAATTGCACTATTATGGGTTTTGTTCTTTGAAATTATTGGCATGTATTAAAATATCTTGGAAGGTTAACATTCAGATATGTAATTAACAATTAGAATAAATTTACCATGCTTCTCCCAGCGGAACAGTCAACTGAAAGCAGGTTTTCAAAGAATAGTATAAAAAGCTAGTTATAACATAGGAACACTTGCTTGCAGACAGCACACTTCTTTTTGAAACCCAGGCAAAGGAAGTGAGGGAGCGTGAAAAAGAGCTTGGAAGATCGGATAATGCATTTGCCATATTCAACCATAAAAAGATGTGCACTAACAACTTTCAACCATGAGCTATTTAAGAGGCTTTATTATAATGGGATACAAACTTAGGAATAGCACATAATGCTACCCAATGGTAATTTTAGGTATGCATTTTATGTTTTCTAATTATTAACTGTATATTTATACATGTATATTTGTAAGCAATTTTGTGTTTGGGTTTTTTTTTTAATTGTTCTGAATATATGAAAATTTTCAGGCAACAAAACAGAAAACACAATTCTGGACTCATTTAAGACAGGGAATACTTTATTCAAAACCCATCAGAGAAATGGACAGCTTGGGTCTGTGACAAAGCATTCATGTTTTAAAGCATAGGTCAG